TTTCTATATCGTTACTTATGTATTTTCAGTCTTGCATGCGGTCCTGCCTGGCGATAGCCCAAATAAAGAAGTGTGGATGTGCTGACGCTCGATTTCCTGTCGAGGAGCGTCACATTTGCGACAAAATTAAGAAACCTGATACAGGTTAGGGCTGAATTTTTTTGTTATTAATCGATTTTTTTTATTTTTCCACGTTTCATTTCCCTCCTGCTCCTCAATTCCTTGGTCGATTATTTACTACACAAATTTTGAGCTCTACCGCGATGACAGCAGATACCTCCTATATGTAATTTTGAGATGCAGGGCAATTCCTCGATCCATATCAGCACTTGGTGACTTCCTTTTGCTGTTCTATGACGAAAAGCACGTCTCGATTGTTCGCCGCCTTGATCTCAATTTGCTGCATTTTTATGTCTCAGAGATTTGCCTTGATGACTTAACAACTCAGTTCAACGAGGAAGGTCTTGACTGCGATACAGACTGCCCTGTTCCTTGCAGGTGAAAATACACTGAATTTATCAGCTCAATTCTTAAATAAAGAAATACAAAACGCGCCGAGTGCATTGTTGAGTTATGTAAGCACGTGGGAATTTTTAAGAACACGAGAGAAGTACGGAGAAGCACGAGCCGAAGGCGAGAAGTGCGAGAATGCATTGTGAATTGCGCGCGCTCGTACCGATGAAGTAAGCTGCGTGCATAATGCCTCAACAGTGCACTCATGTGACTAAGGCGCGTGCTTTATAGAAATATGATAAACTTGTTCTGACCAATCACAGCGCGCACGTTCCTCTGAACATTTTTTAAAGGCGTAATAAATGACTCGCAAAGTGGATCACAGGCAGCCCAAGCTTCAGCTATGAGATGATCACCTTGCGTAATAAGAGTCATGGGGAAGGTATAAGAGCTTGTATGAGAATATTTACGACCGCTCTTGGGAATAAAACTTGAAAATACAGTCAAATTTTCAATGAAAATACCTCGCCTTGCGTTCACAATGCATTTCTTGTTGTCTGACCACTTACTTCGTCGCAACGAGGCCATTTTAGGGACTTATCCATTTCTAGGATTGCTACTCCCAAGAGAAGGACAAGGCTGCACACTCCATTTCCAAACCATGGTTCTAAAACAATTTATTGATGCCAAATGACGGTGTGGTCCCCGGTGAGGCACAGTTTACTATGGAGGCAGGGTCACTAAGCTGGTTTTCAACGGCCGTGTGTCGTGGTTAATGTGTACGTGGGTCGTTAAACGTCTAACTGGAAACTTTGGAAGCAAACTTCGGTTTAGCGTCGGTTTAACGTCGGTTAAGCGTCGGTTTAGCGTAAATATTCCCATACAAACTCTCATATTTTCACCATAACTTTTATTTCGCAAGATGATCATCTCACAGCTGGAGCTTGGGTTGCCTGTAGGTGGATGTATATCTGCTTGGATCAGATGCTGGTAATTCATATTATTTCAAACAACGTAAATGAAGTTTAAGAGGCACCCATTAAATGATGCGTTTGAAAAAAATCTCCTAACTCGCTTTAGACAAGAAATATCCACGTTCTCGTCTCCAAAGTTTTAAATTCCACAATATAACGGACTCCAACAGCTTGACAACTAGATCATTAGCTATATTTTATTAACAGACCTTAAACAAAGAGCTAGCATCTCTAAATAAGTATGGTGAGAAGTTTTATAGAGTAACGATCACTTTTTATCTTTATTTCTGCCGTCTTGTCAAATTCCAGTGAACTGATATACAAAACCTCCATGTCCATGGCAGAGTGGCCCTCCGAAGGATTCCAGGTGGGACTGTTTATTTCTCTGCATTCATTAAAAACATTTCGAACCTCTTTCTTAGTTTCAGAGACGAAATATGGGTGAATACAGGGTCATTTAGTATTATCAACTGAGTTCATGATGTAAATCGGCCACCGTAGAGACTTTAAAAGCTGACGCTTCGAGCGTTAGCCCTTCGTCAGAGCGATTGGATGTAGCTGACTACATGCTTCATTTCCTTTTATCCAGCATGTTCTTCAGGGCTCTTCCTCGAAAGATAAAGAAAGTGATGTTAGATATTAGTACATGCCAGTATAGGTAACAAGTTTCAGCACCATACGTTAAAAGAGAAAGAGCAGCCGCAAGAAACAAAATAAAAAGCATACAATATACAATGCCAACCAGCCTAAAGTCAAATACAAACACAATATAAAGCAAACAAAATAAAAAGCATACAATATACAATGCCAACTAGCCTAAAGTCAAATAAAAACACAATATAAAGCAAACAATATAACTAGGATGAAACAAAATCCAAAACAAAGTAAAGTTTAAAGTGCTTTGTGGTAACAACAAAAAAATAATGCCTTTATCAATATAAGCCTCATCTTTTTACTCTCGTATCTAATGACAACTTGCAGTCATTTTTTACTTTGCTAACAAAGTGCCAATAATAATTGCTCTATTAAAACAAAACCCAACTCTAGCTTCTCAAAAAATAAAATTAAAGCTACCATGGGTTCTTTTCATATTTACTAGGATGTGCTGTACAATCGTGTCATCAAAAGGAAAAATGCAGCGGCTCAAAATCAAAAAGCAGAGGGTCCTGAGTTTTTAAAGTAAGTAAGCAATGATCATTTACGAAGATAAACACATGAATAATAGAAATGATAATAATAATAATCATAACCATAACCATACATAAAATAATCATTATTTATGATTTCAAAGTGTAATCCTCGTCACAACTCAAGGATGCATTTGAATTAATCTGCATTTCTCGTGTACTTCAATTTCACAGTCGAAACTTCCTTCAAGTGAAAGTGTTTTACGAGCGACTCAACTTTCAGGAAGTTCAAGAATACCTGAGTTACAAGGTGAATTTTTACACTTAGAAAATCAATCGTAATGATGTCTTCAACCTACGCCAAAAGTGTATCAGAACCAGTTGCCACTGAGAGTCCTAGACTTCTGTCTTTTTTAAGGCTGGATGACTGTATCATAAAGTTTTCATTGATTTCATTATCATCACTCTTATCATTCTTAATAGGGGATTAACTTGATTGCCGACATTGGAGGCCAACTTGGTTTGTGGATTGGTATTTCGGTACTAACCTGCTGCGAAGTTCTGGAGTTGGTGCTGCTCCTGGGGCAGACTGTTTTTAAAAGGATCACTATGAAAGAAAGTAGGGTAGAAATACGGGAATAGCGGCAAAAAGTTAGAATGACCAAAACGTCTTTAGAACAAACATTGGGTATATTGGACGATTTTTCCTCCTCTCTCAGAAGCTCAGTTTAGTAACTATAGTAACAAGGATAGTATCGACATTGTAGATTGACAACAAAACAACGTCGATTTCACTTTAATAGTTTAGAAAAATACGAAAAAAAAATTAATTTCAAACTATTTCTTTAAGGAACTTTTGTATCAGTAGATGTAATGCTCACTCGAGTTTCGTGGCAAGTTACGTGCATTACCATGGCAAATAAGACGTAATTATATGGGGATTATTCTTTGGTCGTTTTCTCTCCAAATTTTTAACCAACCACACCATCTGCATTTCAAGTAACACCTTATATAAAACATTGAAGCAAAAGAATGGCTAAGAAGTAGGATGTGTTATTCGGCAAAAAAAAACATTGTAAAAATTACTATTATATTTAGTTTCTACCGACATTCGCTGGATGGAAAATCATCGCGAAAAGCCAGCTGAAAAAGCAAGCTTGTATAACTAACATCACTAAGGAAACCACTATCATATATAACCTTTCAGAATGCAAGTTCTTGTATAATGGGCTATAGTATTTACCAGACAGGTTGAATAGTGCTTTTTGGCCGCGCTGGTTGGCTGGTTTGGAAATGATTAGCAAGTACTATTCACCTGAGCATTCAAAGAGACAAACTCGCGTTAACAATTAAATTTCTGACCATTTTTGGTATGTGGACAGAAATGAACTTGTTGTTTTGGTTTCTGTGTGGTATATAAAAGAACAATTATTTACCTCAGTGTGAGTGAAAGTGGATATGATATTTGACTCGCTGCTTCGCAGCTCGGTAAATATCCACCACTATTCACCTCCAATTCGGTGATTATTGTTATTTGAATAATTCGACAAAGCCAGTACAGAGTTGCCAAAATAAATAAGTGTCGCCCGTGAAAGATCGGGCACCATTTGCACTTTACGGGCAAAATTCTCTGGAGCAATAATAAAGTATTTCGATGGTCTCACAATGTAGTCACTTCCGATGTGGATCACGAAGTTTCAATTGCATTCGTCTAGTCTTATTCAGGCGATGAGGTTGATTACTTATGTCAATTTAACTTCACAAAGCACTATGCGCCCGTACGATTGACTGATTTTCAACATCAGTGATTGGGGCAATACGATTTCCTCCATGTGCTATCCTGAGAATTTCCTTTAGTTCTTACAAGTTTAGTTTCTAGCAACACCGTTTCCAATGGCTATTTCTAAGAATTTTTCTTTAAAAGCATAAAAATTATATTTTATGTTGCAAGAATCTGACATCAAGCTCACTGCGTTTCTTTCACTCTGCCAAAGAGCGCTTTTTCAACCAATCGAAGTTCCCGTTACAATGAAACTCCAGTCAAACTATTTCAATATCATTTTAACCAAAGTCTTTGATAAAAGGAGCGGGAAAGAGAGAAAGGAGTGCTCAGAAAGGGGAAAAAGGGGTTCTTTATCCTTTCACTCCCAAAATCTCGTCAGTAATTCTGCTTACTATCTGCCACACGATTCTTATGATGTTAGTTTGGAGAATTTGGTATTGGATCAACTTGTAGCCCGATAATCGAGTTTTCTTCTTTATTCTCCTTTATTCACACATGGGAGTTAAACGGTTGAAGGGGAGAGGAAGGGAAATCCTAAATTTCATTAAAGGTACAGAGGCTTATGTCAGATAAACATAATATAATGATTACCGAGCTCGAACGAAAAAGAGGAAGGATCCATTTCTGAACAAAAACAGTTTAACAATTTAATGATATTGAGGCGTTAATGACACTGGGTCTACATCTTGCATCTTATTTAAAAACAACAGACTGCTACTAACCAATGTTAGATTGTCAATGTCTTTCGGTGTCATTATATTAGGTTCAGAACCTGGTCCTAGGAAGTCATTTATATCACAACTTTGAAAAACGCTGCTGTCGTCAATCTCTAGAAAATTTGTATTTTAGATGACAAAGTTAAGCTTGATACATCACTATAGATCATTCCTGGAAAAAAGGAACTTGCGGATACCTTTGAGCAAATTCTAAATCGATTGGAGACCTGATAACGAGCTCTTATCCTAGAATTTCCGTCGAAACATACTTGATCAGTTCTAGACGCCCTTAACTCTTTGAACAATTCTACGTATTTCAAGTCACCTCAGACAGTTTTCTGGGCTCAATATGTCGTTTATAACTCATACGCGCCCAAAAAGTTGATAGTATGATCGCCTTCTATGGTGCCATGACCTAGAAGTCTCACTGTTACTATACTTGACTTTTTCATTACAAAAACAGCTCCAGAGTAAGTGGCTTCTTCACCTTTCACAACTTTTGACAGGTGAATATTTCCGTTGATCAAGATTTCAAATCCTGTCCTATCATTGTCAGTTTGAAGGAAGTGAAATTGGCAGTATACGAAGTAGCGACCATCTCGTGGAATTTCCAAGGATGTGTTGGTGGATTTTATCCCTCCAGCCAGATGTGAAGTTGGACACTCCGAGCACCAGCGGGAATATTCTGCTCGAGAAAAATAGAGACATGTGTATATACAATATTTCATTTATACATTTTTGACTGTAGAAAGCAGTCAACCTTAAATAATTTTATGATAATGCCAAAATCAAAGCGCCAATCATAATAAGGATCGCAATGTCTCATAAGATATTCTGCGATATTCACGACCAGGTGCGTGAGTTTGAGAAAATCGGTTGAGATTTTCTTCTCTATCACCCTAAGATATGTTCCCATGGTTAGACAAAGAAACAATTCATTTGGCACTTAGGATAGATAGACATTATCATATGTTGTAGCATTACTAACTTACCCAGACCGTCTGAGAAACGAAATGCTTTACCATCACTCGTCACATGAACAGATGGCTTCTCCTAAAAAAAAAGCAAAACGATAAAATGAATCGGCAATTCAACAATCAACAACTCACTTGTCGATCAATACGTCAATCACTCAAATGTTATCGCCACACTTGACATAATTTGTAGAAAGTGCAGCACCACAGATCGGTGTCCTTCCTCTGTGCTGATGCATTCCAGACATTCTATCAGTTGAATGTGATAAAAATCATCGGTTCCTTCGTATTAAGACAAACAAACCAGCTTACAATTTTATTCGATTCTTCGATTGTTTGTTGTTGTTGTTGTTATTCACAAAGCTTACCTCCTTGTACGTAGTCGTTGAAGACGTAACAACACCACGAGTTTCATACGCTTCAGCGCACCCCTTTAATCCAAGTTGCATTTGAAAGGAGAAAAAAAAAAGCTGATGATGAGACTCTAGAATGTTTTCTTTTGTCGCTTGTGAACTCAAATACCTCATCACTTACCCATGTACCATAACCGTTTCAAATTTCATACTTAGGCTAAAAAAAAAGATGTTATTTTTGTTCATCAAAGAAATTTTTCTCTCCCCCTTTGTCACCAAAATTTAACTAGCGAGAGTTTCCTCAAATTTCTATTTTCAACAAAAAAAAAATTCGGGCCCCAGTATTCTTAAGGTGGAGTCGACATCATGATCAAGCGAGAGTGGACTCGATTGTACTAATTACGTATTCTTTAAAGTACAAAAAGAAAAATGAGTCACTCTGCTGATGATCGATTGCAGCACATCCAGAAGTAAAAGTCGCATTATGTTGTATGTAGTCAAGCAAAGGCTAGATTTAATGAGTTTCCATCAGCCACTAGGTGATATTATTCATTAATGAGCCTTGTAGACTCTTTTCCGCTAACCTTTGATGATCCAGAGGGCCCGGCTGGTCCAGGAGGGCCGGGATAGCCAGGGTCACCCTGCAATGATTGAAAAAACAATATTCATTTATCTAATTATCTATTTGTTCATTTTAATTCATGCCTCTCCCAATCAATGGATCGATTCGGTTTTTTGGTATAAGTGATTAAATCTGTTCACTTAATGTATAGTAAAGATTACCGAGTTTTAGCAACTCCTTACTTTTGGACCGTCCCTTCCATCTCTTCCATCCTTTCCATCTTTACCATCCCTTCCATCTTTCCCTTTCAGTAAAGGAGCCACCTTTTTTATCAAGTCTTCAAGCGACATGGGATTGAAATTCAGTGGCTTTTCGTCTTGGGAGCTTTTCGACAGAGAAATCACGTCCTTTTTTCAAAAAAAAAAATATGCATCAAACGATCAGAGTTAAAAGGAAGAAAAAACAAACAAAAAAAAACTTACATACAAACTAGCAACGAGCAATAACACTAACTTTTCAACCAAAATTCAACAAAAAACAGACAAAGACAAAAAAGACGTCCGACGGAAAAAAAGGTTGAACTAAGATGATTATTCCTCTTACATTTTCATGTAGACTCTTTTTTTCCCGTATGTATGACCTGTCTTCATTTCGTGGACCAGCCGTAAAATGGTGATATCTGTCTGAATTCTCAGCAACACCCATATAGTCTTTTAACATACCCAGACCCTCAGGAAGCTGGCGTTTATCAACTGAATGTTCTCTCTCCGTTCCTGATGAGTCCTCTTCAATTCTTTGTTTGCTAGCCAAATTGGCAATTTTGTCGTGGATATTCCTCTTAACTTGGTCGTCATATCTCGGTTCAATATTTCTTCGTCGTCGCACGAGATGCAGAGCCTCGTGTATCAAAGCACTTGGGTTGGCTGCAAGTTCTTTGGCCTTAAGCTTAGTCAACCCTAAGGCAGTTTCACTTGCGTTGTCGTTGAACTTTGCCCTTTGGCCGGTCACCACAAGGACTGAAGCGGTTATCAGTGAAAGCAAAACCTCAAACTTGTTTGAAAATTTCATCATTGATGCTTATTGCACACGTAAGGCATTTCTGAAAAGGTCACGGATAGAAAGAAGGAAACATTAAAAAGGAACATATTTTCAAACAGAAAGCCGCCAACTGTGCAGCCTGTTGCTCAAAACAACAATAACAATAACAACAACAAAAGCAGCAGCAAATGAAACATCAAGTCTAACTGACTGACCCTCTGAAAAACTGACCAGGCGGTCTCACATATCAGATTGGTTTATGATCACTCACTGTCTTCTACCTGACCAATGGCTTAGATGTCGGATGGCTGATTTGGTGAAATGACTTCCAAAATAATTCATTAACTCAAACATTTGAAAGATTCTCCGTTGTCTTCAAGTTGCCCCCCTTCTTTATGTTATGATTCTTTAGATTAAAGAATAACTGACAAATTCTGTATCATGTGTTCACCCCCCACAAACATTTTAATTAAACTTAACGAGTGTTTACCCATATAAATAAATGACAGATGCTTTAAATGCTTTATTTGATATGAGATTTTCATTTACAATCTCTAACAATAATGTCATTCTAGGTCAAACGATGTTTCACCTTCCAAATCGGTTTTAAAGTCCTTAAATTCTACGAAAAGGCCATTCACTTCTCCCTTAATGGTATAAAAGATGAAAAAATGATACTGTTAAGGAAGAATGTTCACTAAGTTCCTTAATTGAAGTAAATTTCTATTTTATTTTATACACAAACTCAGTAAAGCGGAAAATCTGATCAGACATTGGCCCTTCCTGGCATACAACTTCTTTTTGGTTGCTAATACTGATGGGAAATAAAAGATAGTGGAGTGTCTGTAGTCAAAAACGTTTCTGATTTCCTTACTTTCCCACAAATTATTATTTTGAATAACTGAAAAAATTATATTTTATAATTTCGTTAATCGCTCTTTGTATCTTGCAACGAATAAGTTACATCTTATTAGTTGCCTTCGCAATATTAGATAGTGTCTTCAGGTTTCCGTTGTTGAAATAGGAATAAATATATTTTTTCCAGCAAGTTAAGGTTCAGTAAATTTTGTTTAAATCAGAGGTGACAGTTTTCAAGTGGGAGGTAATTAATTGGAAGCCGTGAAAAAGCAAGAAATTGTCCCACGCCACCCGCAAATGCAAATACTTGTAAAAAGCAAATATCCAAACAACAGCTGATGTCAACACAAGTATTAACCCTATAATCTACTCAACAAAATCTTATTTCATTTTTCTTTTCAAACGCTCATTCACAAAAGGAAGGAGAAACGTTTATTGAAGCTTTGCCTTATTCATTGGCGATTGGCTAAAACTGTTTTCAGAGCAGGTGCTCTTCAGGGGGTCATAAGTTCAAACAAAACAATGGCAATGATAAAATAGTCGACCACCATTGTCAGTAACAGAAATTAATATATTGAGTTACGCCCTAATTTAGAGTTATTTTTAATCCTTTTAACTAATAAACCCGCTGAGTTAGATTTTCTCAGGAGTTAATGTTAATGGCCAAGAGAGCGTCTTTGAGATGTCAAATGAGTATATGCTGTATTTTTCCATTAAATTTAGGCAAACTCACTACTAGACGAACGCCATCAATACGGATCAAAACCTATAGGAAGCGACGACTGAAAACGAGCTGTATCTAATTCAAAGTTACAATTACGGTTTTAAAAGCATCCTTTGTCATCCAGAATTCTCAGCAGTTGTTCTACTCCCTGGGACTCTAATTGCCTACCAGTCGAAATTAAATATAACTTAACCATCAAGATGGAAGTCATGAAACAGGTAGTTATCTTCGCTTCTGCGACTTAAATTCTAGATTGCTACATGTCCTATATTATAATTTCATCTTTTCCCGGATTCTTTATAATATAGGAGCACAACCTGATAGGAATTAGGTCTTTTAGAGCCACCAGTCTCGTTGACGGTTTCAAACAAACTCGTTCCTGTAGAGCAGGTGTATTACTGTTGACCAATTTAGCTGGTGTTGCCCTCGAAAACGTCTTTCAATTTCGACCCTCTAAGATATAACCGAGTTTAGACTTACCTGGATAGATTCCAGTCGCTCTTTGACTCGTTTCGAACATTTCAAAGGGTGCTTTGGAGCATTTTGCACCCGAAAAAATCGCATCAGTGCTTCGTTAAACTCGAATGTCGTTCTTCTGAAGCATTACCAATTCTTACAGAGGCAAAGCAGGTGGTTCTCAGTCATTCACCCACTCGGGGTAAGTGATTTCAAAAAAAATATATATCGAATTAACCTGATAAAATTAGGTCGCTGTTGAACATAAGCACAGCAGTCTTCTCGAAGAGAAGATTTTTGAAATACTTTTATTCAGTTCAGTTTCTTTCTAAAAGAGCACTTGAATACCCCGACGTTGGTACGCATGAAAATCTCTACGCTTGACCCAAACGGAAACATGAAAAATTATTTGTCAACAAATGTTGCTTTCTTAGCGAAGGATTTCAATCGAGTATTGTGCACTTATACTTCCTTCCTTCATTAAAGGTATTTATAAGTTTAACAATAGTTTTCCCAAAGATAATTGAAGGGAAATTACATAAGGACGTGCAATTACGATAATCAGCGCAAATTAGTTACGGCACTTAGATTTCTAGGGACTCACTGAAACGTTGAAAACAAACAAAAACAATCATGATTGTTTTCAAACTGTAACCCATCGTTTCAATGTAGTAGAGGTTGAACTTACCCTTCAAGGAGCTTTCCATCATTCTAATCACTAATCACAAGAAAGGAAGCATTTTAGAACTTAAATAGATATGATAACTGAATAGCATTCACTTTAAGAAAATCCAACATTTTTATCCAAATTGAAACACTCGTTTTCCCGGAGGCAACTTTATTTGGAGTATAGTTTTAGACGTATAGTTTTAAACAAGACAAAGTGGATAGTAAGCTGGAAAAGTTCCCTAAATTACTTACCTTTCATATCTATTTTTCCATGTGCGAGCTCTAATTGCAAATAGGAAATCCTGAACGAACGATGCGTTTTCTCAAATGGATTCAACTTCTACTTTGTCACAGTTGTAATATGTTAAAGCATGTCCTTTTGTTTTTTCGATAGACGGGAAGTTCGTCTGAACTGTTCGCTCGATAGGATCCCAACCGGGAGTATGACATAATAGCTTTGTGACGCTATCAGCTTACTCCCAAAGTAGTTAGGTGTAAAGAAAGCTCTCAACGCCTTGATGTTACACTTCCCTTTAGTTTCGTTCAGTATTGCAACAAAGTCGTACTTTTTTATTGTTTTTCCTAAGCTTTTTCTTTGTTCAGAACAATGCTTAGAGAGCATTAGACTTTCAAAAGAATTCGTAATTTATGGACAGTGTCGTCTCGGTCCATGAAAACGGAAAAAAGAAACGAGGCTAATATCTAGCCATCTTGACCAAACAAGTTCGGTCAATAAAATATTTTCTATATTCTACATTTAATTTTTATTTTTAATTCTCTATCTTATTTAAGATTTCGCTTTATCAAGAATCAAGAATTACTTACCACAGTATGATAAATTCAAACATTTGTAACAAAGATTGCGACTTTGACATGTTAGCAACTTATTATTTCATGACAATTGAACACCTCTCGCATACAGTGCACAGTTATGCATAAATGTTTTTTTGGAGTTAAAACAGCCGCTTCATGTTCCAAATTTTCAAATGTTTATTAAAACTGGGGTGATCCCTTTGTGTCACTGATGTGAAGTTTAGCTATAAAAGCGACTAAATGAAGACGACTCTCAGTGATTGAGTTAACACTAAATTATTGTTAATTGCTGCCAGATTCACCCATGGAACAGCCATCCAAGGGATGCACGGAGATGACTCCTTTACCCAATGTTTCTGACCACATTGGATTCCTCACATATGTTCCACCAAGACCATGTACTACTTTTTGCAGTTTCTGGTCAATCGTCTTGAAGTTGCTCTCATATCCAACTCTGTCCCATGTTATATCAATGTCATCGATTTTTTTTGTCGAAAGAAATTTCCCCAAATGCACTGTCATGACTCATACTAAGAAGAGAGAGGGTGTTGTTGATTCCTTTGCCTTGAAGTTCCTGACGAATAAAGACAAATTCTGATTGTTTTCATTGATCCCAAAGGTAAAAGATGTAAGTGTTAACTCTTATACACATTTTCAGTTGTTGTTTGCTCGCGATTTAAATATTTTTTAATCGGAGTACTGTGATCATGATCATGTGATCATGTAGGGATTTCTAAGCTCGAGATTCTAGTCCAATAGTTTGTATTTTTTGTGTACACGCCCCTTTAACAATTACACACGAACGCATCAATCTTTATAGTTAGCAACAGTACTCTAGACTCATCAAAAAACAACAGAACACTGAACTAATTAGTAGAATGTTCGTCAGACTTTTGGAACATTATCTTTTGGGGGCCTCAAAAATTCTACTTCTGTATCATTTGATAGCAGCTGTAGATGTTTCGAAATTCTCAGGAGGTACATCGGAGGAACTTTTAATTTGAAATGTATGCTGTACTTATCGACACCTTGGTTGCTACGTAATGCATTACCTGAAATGCTTTCTCGAGCGTTCAGTTGAAGGAGATTTATCTTCCCCGGTCATCTTTGCGGCAAAACTTACACCAAATGCAAACATCTCAGAAAGACTTGAGGCCGGTATGCCATCTTTGATGATTATGTTTTTTCCAAAATTGTCGTTATTCACTTTTCGGAAGTCCATAATTGAAGTAATTGTTGGTCCTGGGGTTAGACAGACGCCATTTTGCGGGTCTCAACCCCAAGAGAATTTGGACGGATACGTCCAAACCACGTTCCTTTGAGCGCTGAAGAATTTGGTAGAACCTAACGCGCCTGCACCTAGAATTGCGTAGGTTGCACAGACTCACCGTTCTTCTAGATCGAAACTTCCAGGAGCCTGCCTCTTGTAACTGACATCCAATCAGTGAAGTTATGAGCCTTGTGAATAGATACTACCTCTATATACCTTCAAAGAAAAAAAAAATGGAATGTAGAAGATTAATTTGAGAGTACAGACTACGCAAACACGGTATCTTGATATTTTCTACTTTGATTGAAACCATATCTGTTTACCTTAGAATACCTGGAGTGTTATAAAGTTATTCGATTTTAAACGATATTCCTAACGACACAGAAAAATCATGGGACCGAAAAAGCCAAGACACCATATTAAGCAAAAGATAGCATTTTCTATAAATCATTTCTTATTAGTTATGAGCATCTACACAAGGTAAGTGAAGGCGAGATATCGACTTGTTTACCCTACAATGAAAACCTTTCTTGATCTCCTTTTAAAGAGATCAGTTAAATTACCTCCACAAATATCTCTGCTCCGTGAGCCTTCGCATCAGGCAGGTAATTAAAATTCAATGTGTTTTTAGTTCCCACATTGCAGCCTGAAAAACAATTCCCGCACGCTGTGCATTTAGGTTTGGGGATACCAACGTGATTCGATGGCGTGTCCTTGAACGTGACGTAAAGAGATGTCTTGTAAAGCACCTTATCAAAGTCCTCGATATCAATCTTGCTTAATCCATCCCTCATTCGGTCAAGTTTTTTTAAGGGGTGGGTAATTGTCAGGGTATGGCGTTGGTTTTATTATATCAACAAAGTGCTGCTGATCGATTGTCAATAACTGATCCACGTCGTACCTTAGTTCTTCTAGCCATACCGGGTCCTGGAACACCCCAGGCTCCGCTTCCAGTCCCACATTGGCATTCACCAGAGAACCCCCACCAAGACCGCACCCTTGAACCACTGCCAGGTCATCAGTGACGATCAGTTCGTGTAAATCAGAGGGCTGACCTAGAAAGTAGTCGAGACTAGCATCTGTTGGGGAGAGCTTTCTTTGCACTGAGTATGTGTAACTTTATCAATAATAACGCAAATGTACAGAGGAAGTCTCTTCAGATTATAATTCGTAAACCCTAAACACTGTCACAACTGACATTGTGCAGACGTTATTTCTTTCAGGCTCTTTGTACGTGGAAATTGCTTGAAAGTACCTTATCCTTTTAAGACCCAAGGTAATTTGGCAAAACAAAATTGCAGAACACTGCAGTGAGAATAACCGTGATTGTTATCGTGAAATAGATTTACCATAAGAAAGTTCTGACTTTTTACTAAGTTATTGTCTTCAAGATCAACAATATTATAGTAGCATTTTAAATCGATCTTTATACTCTCGTTTGACTTGTGTTTATAGACAGCTCGCAATTTCTTTTTTAAAAAACACTTATTTTCTCTCCGAGCTGATTATGAGCCATACCTAATTTTCTTCCCTTGCCACCAAAATTGACTTGTGCATGTTCTGGTGCTTTTCTGAAAGTCTCAGGAAAATCACCCGGTAACCACTCCTTGCCTCGTTCCAGAACGCACTCTGATTAACCAGCGCGTGCGCAGCGGCTTGCGGCGATGGATGTCCCATAACCAGATCCAATCACTACGACGTAATACTTGATCAAAGAATGTGGCGAGGATATCCTGTGAAATAAAGGCTTATTTTTAACCTGGATTGTGAGGAAAAAAATATGAAAGATGATTAGATGTGAAGCATTCATTGATGCCCGCTACTGAGTCAAAACAAGCATACCGCCAAAGGAAAGGGATTAGACTTACCGGTGAGTTTTTTTTAGAGCAAACCCCAATACTTCTTCGGGAATTATAATTTGCTATCTAATATACTCACATGATAAATCTTCAATTAACATCACGGTAAGCAGAGTCGTTTTGATGATGCACAAGAAGGCCACCATTTACTACAGCTGCATTTTAGGCACATTAATCAAAATATTTATTTAGGGACATAAAATCTCCAGTAAGAAAGTCTCGGTGGGATTCAGTAGTAGTCGCAAAACGACAAAAAAAAATTTCTGTTGGGCATAAGAGTTGAGAAATTTCAACCGTTATTAAAAGATTGTTAACTGCTGTTAGTCGTAAAAAAAGCTAAAGATAGTAAACTGTAAAAAAATTCCTGTAAACCGCGACGGAAAGAAATTAACCGTTAGCCATAAAATGGCCAAAATTTTACCCGTTGCCGTAAAAGCCATCACCCCATGGAGACCCTCTAATTAGAGCCAAGGACAGGAACTCTCAAATTTCAGCTGAATTTCGTGTATCCAAATTGATTTTGCTTCATATCCCCGTTAGTTTCTGTCAAGGGGACGAATTAAAACTTACTTCTGCCTACTTGCTCTGAAAAAACTGACAGTGACTCGGAAAACTCGCTCTAGTTCGAGAGGTGGTTTTGTTTACTGAAATTTTAAGATATGGGGACTTCTGAAATTACATCGTATCTTTGAAGTTTGTAGAACTGGCGTCATTCTTGCATTTTTTTAATTACTTAAGGTAGGCAAGCATCAGGGAAGAAAAAGAAAAAAAATCGTCTTCTCTAGGCTTTTTGTGAAGCAAATTTGATTGCTTTTGCTGCTTTAAGACTAGACTTTTCTTAAATTTCTTATTTTCACCTTTTGCTATGATCATGATTTTAATAAAAATTTAATACAAAAATGCTGCATTTAACCTGAAGCAGATGATAGAGAAATTTTCATCTTTTTCTGTTGAAAATCATACAAGGATTGATTTACTCCTCTGTAGTCTTTTCTTGCTTTGTTTTTTCTTTCTGGTTATTTTAGAGGCCTCAGCAAGAGGTCCCATGGACTTTCTTATACGATATGCAAATTTGCTGACTGACAAGAGAATGATGCTCTGAAAATGTGAGAAAGGTTTGCCAAACCCTAACTTTGTCGTATTTTTCGATTATCTTTTCATCGATAGGAGTGCTCTTCCCTTTTTTTATGAAACATAGGGCTACCTTTTATATTCATAATTACACTTTTTCTTTCTCTCTCCTGACGGTGCACCAAAAGAAACGGTTGCACTTACATGACCTCTCCTGCGCGGTTTTGAAGATTCACTTCCTATTACCACTACTTCAGTGAACCGAGGTCCCTTTAGGTCTGTGGTTTTAATTATCTGAATACATGAGTTTAACAATGTTTGTATCAGTGACACCCATATAACATTCAAGATGTAAAGGCCGACTTGCAACTGAAAACGCTAACAACATTCTGAACATCTTTACCTACAGAAGAAAAATTGTGTGATATAGGCCTTGTTTGTTGTTTCAAGCCATTGTTCATGCCTGAAGCTGTTGGCCATTGGTACAAGATACTGGAACCATAGAAACCTGACATTGCTTTTAGAAACCCGTGGCTTCTTTTTGCAGACAATATTCACAAAAACGTTATTAATTAATGACAGATGGGCTATTTATGATCAGAATCGGTGTTTAAAAAAATCTAGAATCTTATGCTCAGACAACTGGTGTAAACATTAAGGGGTAAACACGACAGATTGTCGAGAGTATTATATCTACGTTGAGCTACTGTTTGAATTTGAAGAATTATTTTTGATACCTTTTTATTTACTTTTTTTTTAATTTTGAAACTTAGTATCTCGTGCTTATCGTTATTCCTCTTACTTTAAATGCATGATAATGTAAAGATACATAAAATATGGACTCTACAAATACAAACCAGCAGTCAATTAACATTCTATTGGTTAATTCGAATGTTCGAGAACATGAAAGAGACTTTTGAAGTTAAAGAAAACTTGTCTCTTTCTCGAACATTATCTTCGTTTGATTCGTTTATCCTGCCAAACAAACCTTTAATGGCTTGCTACAGCATTACTCAATGACTCGTACGCGTCCATAAAACCATTGTTTACTGTGTGACAACAACAACTAAAACAATCCACACATAGTATACAGATGGTCATACTTATACAAGACGGCCATGAAATCCATCGACAAACTTGAAACGCACATGGCTGGAGAAACTGTGTTTAATGTTATTCTGATCAGCGGTACTCTTACAAAGCATATCAACTTAACGAATTAAACCAACAAGACTGATCAAAACGCATCTATCTGCTTTTGTATTCAAATACTAGTACTGGTACTCATTATAATTAAGATTGCACATTACTCCCGGAATCGTCCTGATCTTTAAAATCGTAGTAGCAAGACGAGATGAGTAGCAAGCGCTACCATGAAACATTATAATCATTGCCTGACAGGATGTCTGCCGGAAAATGTCTTTAATTGAGCTGAGGCAATATTGACTACCTGCAGCTGGTTCTAGTTGTCAAGAAGAAATTTATTCATAACATAAGATGACACGGTGGATGATCTTTTCTTAGCTTCTTCAATGGAAAGTTGCTTACTGACAGCTTTGTTTTCCTTTTTTCCCAGCATGTCCCGGAGTTTGCATGATCTACATGCAATTAACCTCGATATTTCCTGTCGATAATTTTCATTTAAGATAGTGTAACATATAGGATTGGCAGCGCTGTTGGAAAATATTAGAATATTTGTGAAGGCGATCAACTCCCAAAAATATTTGCATTTCCTCTCAGCGTCTCCATAATCCAGCCAGAGCCACATGACGTTGTTTGGCAGTACACTCATAGCGAACAGCGTCGTCACCACCTTCAGCATGCGTACTACTTTCCGGGCCTCCAACTCCTGAACATCTTTCATAGACTGGTTGCCATTCTCCGCTCTTCTTTTCAATTCTTGGCTGATGCTAAAATATGCAGTGAACATTATACAGAATGGCAGGAGATACTGGAAGAAGAAGATGACTGAAGTGTACACTTTGGTGGAGGTGGAGTCGTTCCAGCTCTCCTCACAGATGTGGAGCTCTGGATTAAATCGTAACGCTTGAAAATACGGAATAACGGGAATGGAGGCAAACAGCCACAATCCAATTATGATTATTTTAGCGCCAGATTTGGTCAGCTGCCTCTTCATAGGATATACAATGGCCCTTTGCCTAGCCAGGCTTACTGCTGTTAGAGTATTCACAGAGGCGAAGAGCAACAGTGTTTGTATGGGGTACAATATTTTACACATGATTGAACCGTACGGCCAGATAGAGTTCAATTCTTGTACTGGTATATCAAATGGGATGCAAAAACAGTTCAGCGTCAGATCAGCGATGGCTAAGTTAAGAATGAAATAATTTGTGACTGTCTTCATTTTTTTACGTCTCAAAATGACGATGCAAACAAGACTGTTTGCGACAAGGCTTATAACGAAAATTATGACGTATAAACTCAACTTCAAAACCCTCAGGTAAAATGGAAACATAGGAAGCGACGGAGACGATTCGTCAGTGCTGTTTCCCATACTCCACGGATTCAATTAAATCCTGCCTCGTCAAGCTGATGTTCCGATATGCTGTGGAAGAAAGAGAGTCTCACAGTAGGAAAAATCAACCATTAGCTTAAACCTATTTTCGTAGTTTGAACTTTTTTCCTATTTTTTTTTTGTCATTATTTTACTTAAGGTATTGCATGTTACTCTTTCTCAATATCCTTTTTATATGAAAATGTAGCAATTCATTCTGTCTTTCTTCTGGTCGATTTATACAGAGCACTATACCTCTTCAGAAGTCAAATTATTTTCGACTCAAAAAAAAAGTCAGTTTGAATGTTATTCAAAGCCGATTGAAATGATGAAGCACGATTGCATGTGCTGCTTCCGAAATCATTAACTGCTCAAATATACTTCAAATAAACTTACCTTTAAAATGAAAGTTCAGAAAATTGACACAGCAAAAATTCCATATGTATTGGGGCACTGAAGATAAAGCTTCTGATTCTCGCTGAAAGATTTTAGTTGTGGGTTCTGCAACCATGCGAAAATGCTAAACCTGATGTGTAACCTATATCGAGAATCTTTATTCAAAACACCTCATTTTTCTTTGACAAGTTGGACCTCACCTGCCATCCTTTTTAAAATGTGATAGCAAAACAACTTCATTTTGCAAACAGAAACTTGATTAATTTTCATGCTTCCTGCCGCGCAGTGCGTATTAGTCAAAACATTCCAAAATTAAAAATTTACAGTAACGACTTTTATCTTTAATTTTCTGCAACTGCGGACAACGTGGCTAAATTAGGAGCAGATAAATTAAGTTTCACAAAGCTTGGAAGCATCTCGTCTCCCTATCCAGCAAGCTTTAAGGATTTTCATTTGACGTTCGCAAATTGAACGCTTTTTAATTATCTGCACCTCCTCCGCAAATGTTGACATAGTTGTCTTGCAGAGAAGATTGCTTTTTTGAATTAGGACTGTAAATGAGAATCCTGGCCTCGCTTGAGGAATGATTTTTGTTTGTATTACTTAGCGAAATTTAATTTCTTTTGTTTCCTAAAGTCGAAGAAAATATTATTATTTATTTATTCATTTCAATAACTGGTCAAACGATTACAAAGTTACATGGTCAAACTTAAATTTTTTTGATTTATTTGCCTTTCATTTACATTTAAAGTTTACGTGGAGGAGACTTGAAAGAGAAATAAAAAACGAGATTACATCGCCGAGTGACAAGTTATTCTTTTATAAATTATTACAGTCCGGATCTTGATATTAGTTTACTAGACGTTTTTATATCTACATGTTGATTTTGTTTTCTCATTTTAATTCTCTTTCGGGTCTCGTTGTCTCTTTATTTCTCTTTATTTACGTCTTTCTAAACATACTTATATAAATTTCCGGGCGGAGAAAAGTTACGAAAAAAGATTTAGAAACCGAGAAGATTGGTTTACAGTCAGATGGCGGTTCGTGACGTCAGAATGGGTTGTCATGGTCTGATTCCATCTCAGATAATTTTGAAGAAATTCATGGCAAACTCAGAATGTTTTAAATGTTGTCCGCTCTTTGAAAAGAGAAAAGTACATTTATGTCAAGCCGAAATAAATTAAAGTTAAAGGGAATTTGATCTGTTAGATTAAAAGGACTCCGATTTGATAATCAACCAGCAACGGCAATCAAATTGATCAGATAACATGTTCATAGATTTTTCATTCGGCTCAAGGAACCTTTTTTGGCATCAAATTATTCTCATGTGAAATGAAACTTAAACAAATAAGTGAGTAAATTAATGAATAAAGACATAGATGAATAACAAAGCTCAAAAATGGAAAGAAAAGCAAAAGCTAATCATAGTGGATAAAACCATGCCTCCAAAGATATTTATCTCGTGTCCAGGCCCTTGTAGAGTTGTTTAGTTCACACTTTTTCCATACTGCTCAAAGTACTCGTAGTTGAAAGAAAAGCATTTATCTCGGGACAGGCACCTCTTTAAGCACTCTGTGACGTTAGCGACGAAATATTCTTCAAATGCCTGATCTATAAGAGCGTGATCCCTGTTGTCGAGTTCGGCAGACATGAATCTTGATGGACGAATCAGATGACCAGCTGTTGGTTAAAATTTGAGAGTAGCAATGGAGGCAATAGGTTTTTATAAAGGGGAAAGTATCATGGCTGTTCAGTCCGTTTTATAAGTAGTTTGTATTACAAATAATCAAAACTATGACAAAATTCTCGAACGTGATTGGTTATCACAAGCCGATTTGGGCACCAATAGGACAGTTTACGCGTGATGCTTGTAATTGGACAGTGTAATGGGACAGTTGACACGTCATGCCTGTGTAAGTGAACATAATGTACAGTCGCGCATTTCGCCGAGTCAGCTGTTTTTGTTTTTGTTTTTGTTTTTTTTTTCACGAAGACGTATAACCGATATCTAGTTTCTTTCTCAAATTTTGTCATAGTTTTGATTAATTGGTTACAAGACTTCGCGTCGTCCAATTCTGTCTTTAATCATACTCGTAATAAACAACTCGTTAGAGCTGATAAAGGGCTAATGCTTTAAACTCTTTACGGTGGCCAATTTACGTTATCGACTCAGTGGATACTAAATTACCATGGACTCCACTTAGTCCTATTGCCATTATTTATCAAAAATGTAACAAATTCAGGGACGTGCTTGGCTATCTCCACCACAATTTGAGCACCAACATGACAGCGTATGCTTCATGCTCGCCGATTGGAAGGTGATTGGGCAGTGTAGGCGTCATGCCTGTGTAATTAAACAGTATGCGTCATGTGCAGGCGCTCTCTTGGTGCATTTTGCTAAGTTAACGGTTTTTTTTCCTTTTAGGAGAACGTATAACCAATCGCTAGTTTTTTGTTGTTTTTTTTTGCAAATTTTGTCAGAGTTCTTAATATTTAATTGTAACAGGAATTCGTGTCGTCCAATTGGGGCTGTAATCAAACTTTTATTCACCTCTTTTGCATACATACGGTCTCTTAACAGAGCAGGCGATATCGTTCCACTTGCCGCTGTTTACCAAAGTCTCCACACAGTGTTCAACGCCCTTAAAGTTGTTTGGCTCCCCGATATTCCAATTTCTATACGCCACTTTAGTACCATCAATCCAAAGAAATGAGCCACCTTTAAAATTAAGCCCGATCCAAGCGCTCCCGGACTGCAGAGGCTTTACAAATAAACTGTAAATAAAATCCATTTCCTCTTGGCTTTTTATCACAACAAGATCCGCATTCATAGAATTACAATCCGCCAGACCTTCCTCCCATGTTTTCGAGCGACTGGATATTTTGTAGCAGGATGTGTTAAAAAACTTCCATCCAATTCCACAAGCTTCAGAATCTAATGAAATGCAATTCAATTTAACTTAATTTTATGGAACGTGAATAAAAGGTAAATATTTCGATCGATCAGCGTTGATCGGATTGGGAAAAGTTCTCGCTACTACCATCCCCGGAATACAGTCTCGCTCCATGGATTTGCTAATCACTTGATGTGACTACATCTTTGAGCACGAGGTCTCGATTCGAAGAAGAGGACGAAGGATATTTTAGAATGAAAAATAATAATAGATAATGCGACAATCTCACGGCTGGTTTCTTAAAAAATCTAGGAAAAAAGGAACATTGATCAGTTTTTTTTGTCACACTAAGTGAATAGGTGAGTCGAAATGATCATGGCAATCACTGTGGTGATGCAAACATTTGGACGCCAGGCTTAAATTTTTGCAAGGAGCTGTTTATTGCAAGGTGAAAATTTTCCTTTATGAAGTGGTTGGTTGATGACCTAACCTGATTAACGTGAAAGGTATCACATCTATTTTGGCGATAGACGGATACATAAATTTTTTTTTTATTAAACAAGAGAAGATTTGAACATATAACATGACCGAGCACAAATTAAAATTTCTTTAGCATCGAATCGTGTACTGATTAAGTTGTAATACATGAACGACCTCATTCTTTTTTAACTATATTTCGACTTAAATCATAATTCTTGGAAATCCTTGAATGGGCCGAGTCATATACCATTATAATACACTTACCCAGTTGATCAGAACACCCAAAAACCACTGACAAAGTGGGACAGGCCAGTAAAACTCAAAACTTGTACAACGAAAGAGTTGGCCTAGGATAAAACATCCCCGCCAAAGATTGCTTCAATTCCTTCTCTCTCAGTCTTCACCTTAAAGAGATCATATTCTTCAATTTCGTGCTCCTCTCCGTCCGAACGTGAAGGTCAAAGTGACAAATGACCGTCTGTCTCTTTTTTCATTACCAATGTTTGCTCAATAAAGCCGCTTACATTAAATCTCTGCGCACGGAGTAATAAACTTGATAAAAACTGTATTTGCCATGCTTTTTGCAATATTTGACACTCAGATGTCTAAATTCAAGCCGCTCTTTTATAAAATTCTTTATAAAAAAAATTGTAATGCTAATGAAAAAGCAATAAAATTGTTCAGTGCCAAACTAAACTCAGGGACTCTCATATATAGGACGAAAGGTTCCCCAACTGGACTGACAACCGGATAAAAATATTGCAACTGTCACTGTGAGCTGCATGCAAGGTTTTCATAATTCGGAGAAAATGACAGTAATGTATTTCTCATAACGTTAAGGTTACAATATAATGTCAAGAAGCATGCATATTTTTAGGGTTCAGAATCTTACCCGTAAGTGAATTTATTCCATTCCAGAAAAATAACAATTTCAACAACACGTCCTTGATGTTTTTTTTTTTTTTTTTTGCTTTTGCATTTCAATCGTCGTCTCTGTCATATTAATCAAAGTGGCGAAACATCGTTATCATACTAAAAGTGAGCTGAGCTGTAACAAAAAGCTTTAACCAGTGATGAGTTGAATTATTTTCATTCTTACTTGTACCTTCCGCTTGCTTGTACATTTTCACCCATCTCTCTAAAGGTTTCATTTCAAGGATTTGAAACAACATCGGAAAATTACGACGTAAATTAGGATCAGATCCAGTATGGACAATTTTGCATCTGTTGTAATATGATACAAAAGTTTTCTGGCGTAAAGCATGCGAGGAAAGAGAAAGTTAGCCGATATTATGAGCTTGCCTGGTTATTCACCGAGACAACCAGTTATATTTACGAAAGTTAAAGCTGAAAAAAAATTATTTGTTGAGTGATATTATATTAAATTTTGTAGAAGAAGCCAAAAAGCGCAAAATAAAGTCATAAGCTTGCCCAATGGGTTACAATGCGAAAATCCGCCTTCGTGCTCAAGTCTCTTATGGTCTCTCAAGGATGTGCTGCAATTTAATCTGTTTTTGCTTTGGGTTTCTTTTATTTAATATTGCTTCCATTTTTCTCATAGCAGTTCAGAATCAATGCTACTTCTGTGAAATATTCATAAAAAAGATCGCTGGCACAACCATGCTCGAGTGTGTCCTTTGATGTTATCATTTAATAGTTTGGGTACTCTGTTCTGTGTTCTCCATTTGCGTCAGACTTTCTCATCTCTTCTTCTGTGGATGCGACAAACAGTGAAAAGAATTTCTGCATAAAATAAAGCAAACTGATTTAACCGTAACAGTCTGTTCAACTCTTGCTCGAACTTGCAATTATAGAATGGCAGAGAAAAAGTCTCATTAGTTTTTTGCGTGTTTCTAGTCATTTATATTGCTTCCATACTTTACTTTCGTGTACTTGGGCTGCCCATCAGGAAACCCTCAGCTGTCTCCCAAACGCAAGTGCAATGTGCTTGATGGGGGGAAGATTCCAATAGTTTAGGCACCAGTAGGTGGTATATCATACTCGAGCTCCGCCGTTACGAGGAAACTCTGGAAACCATGAACACCAAACACGGGCCTGGAGTGTTTGGGTTACAAAGACCAGTCATGCACATGGGAGATCAGGACATGTAAGCAAAAAACAAACCAAAAAGTAGTTGCCGTTACCGTGTGGAATGGCTCGTTATCTTCAGTACGTTCACATTTTGAGATGTCTCAGGTGTCCATGGTTTTCGGAGTTTTAAACAAGCTTGAGAGAATCAATAACGATGTCCTTGACATAACTCCTTACCTCATTTTTAAATTGAAAAACTTTTAGCCATTTCTTCCGCGTTTTTTACTAAAGAAAAAGAAAATTCCACCATTTTTAAATCCATTTTTTTTCAATTCATTCAATCATTCATTTTCTGCTTTGAACTTAACAGACAAAAAAAAAAAAAAGGTCCCTGGGTTGTCTGATGGCTCAACCTAAGTCCAACTCTTAAACTGATTGACGGCCTTCTTACAGGTTCGTTCCTCATTTCGATCCTCGGTAATTAATAAGTTGCCTTACTTATGGTTTTTCCTGCTTGACAATGATAATCCACTTGAAGGTACTTGTGTGTCTTTCCACAAGGATTTCCAAATGCTTCATTGGACGCTTCGAGTTCACAAACGTTTTGACCATTGCATTTTTTTTTCACCATCTGATCTGACTTTGGAGACCTGCAGAAAAATTAAAGATGGAAGGAAAATGACAAGAAACAACAAAGAATTAAACCAAAGAGAAAAATCAGGGAGGTGGAAAACAACGAGATAGGAAGTTTATATGGGAGACTAAAAGTGACGGTTTTCAAAGTCTCGATTAACAAACCCTTCTTAATCTATTTCTGCCACTGAGCTGTCATATTTTTAGCACTACCACGATTCAATGACTTAGTTTGTCAATGTTGGTGAAGCTGTTCACTTATTCACTTACTTGCATTGGTTGTTTTCAGCTAGTTGTCCTCCGCATGTCCATTTATCTGTTCTTCCGTAGTTAGCATCGACAACTTGTATAGTTTGTGTCTCCGGACATGTAATATTTTCCGGTGGACTGAACTCGCAAATGGATTTTTTAATCATCTCTGTAAAAGTGTAACAATTGCAAAAAAAAACATATATGAACACTGTGAGGAGAAAGCTTGTCTGACTGGAAAATAGCTATATTTTATGGAGAGTACACTGAGAAAGAAAAGATTCGATTATTAACCACCAAGGATAGAATAAGCAGCTCTATATTGAGCTCAGTTTTTCAAGAATCTTACTATATGTGACAACATATAGTGGCAAATAATGTTTTTTTTCTTTTGTAATCACACCTTGTTTTATTTCCACTTTTGCGACAATGATAAAACTCTGAACTAGGCAGATTAGCACTTCCTGATTTAGTTTTATGGAGACGGCACCAGAGGCACCAACACCTTACCTGACTTGCAGAGGTAATAAACTTGTAAGTACTTCTTTACTCCGGCGCATTCTGGAGGATCTCCATACGCATCTTTGCTCGACTCCAGCTCACAGGTATTAGAATCGTCGCAAGTCTCCTGCACCATGGACAACACGGTGTCAAAGTCGACTTTGCAAGTGACGTTGATAAGCTGCTCACCGTCAATGCAGATGTCATTATGCTGCCGTCCATAACTCGCCCAAATCGTAGATAAGACGTTTTGCTTCGGGCAGGTTAGAGTCCTTGCCGGTTCACCATCGCATATGGTCTCCACGAAGAATTCTTTGAGTGCAAGGGAAAGAAGAAATTATGAGTGACAATCAGATTATTAAGATTTACATTACAACGAGAGCGTAAGGCGAAGGAAAGCTTACAAATAGGCTTGCCAATGAAATGGCGAAACTTTACAATTGCTGAGAGTCAGCCAAACTTTTTCTCACAGCTGGGTAACTCAGTCTGAGAGATTCCTATTCATGAGCATTGCATTTTTTTCTTAGGTTTTCGTAAGTTTCACAAACCGAAAATAGCTCGACACAGTTTATGGCCATTGGAAATTCAAGCTGTAATCATTTATTAACGGGGCTGGTTTACATAGAGTATAAAAGCAATAATGAATTTCTTTTTGATATAAAATAATAAACCTTCTTTTGACGAACTCACATTTAGGAAAAAATAAAACACAAGCAACAAACAAGCTAAGGCATTGTTCCATAAAATCTGTCAAGTATTTTGGCAATTACCACTTGCTAGTTCTGCTTCGTGGACAATGGCAATCGTCAAAAACGCAAAAATAATAACAGCAGATGTACTGATCTGAAAGAAAAGTAAGACATCATGGAGAAGAGATAGTGGAGAAATGTTTCATAAAGAATATGAGGAAATTACAGTCGAACACTCGCTTGATTCATAAACTTACCCGAAAAGATTTTGTACAAATACTTGCTGACTATTATTTACGAAGCAGGAAATAATGTGTTTGCTACATGTGTCCATTTTCTCTCAAAAACAAAAACAGATAATGAAGCCACGATAACATAAATATAAATTTGGAATTCTATGAAAAGGGTAAGACCTTGATGCGTTTACCTTCTCTCTCGAGACTACCATCTCCTTTGGCTATCAATACGACAAAATATATATAATGTAACTGCTTAATAACAAAAGTCACTTCAATCTGCTCTTTGTTTTTTGAAATTATGTCGCCTGTTTTCTTAAAAGAATCATTTATTCTGTCACCCAACAAGTGTCTCACTCGATGAATAGAAAACAAGTTATTCGTTAAGGACACCCGCACAACAATGGCAGGACAACCAGCTAAGCTGACAATCAAAGGACCACTCCTCAAACTTATAATTTTTTTTTTGATATTTATACCAAACAAAGAGCACCAAGCAAGGCGATTGAATTTCCCCGTAAAGTCTTGTTTTTTAAGTAATCCCATAGCATTACTATCGTCATCGTCATCATCATCACGACGACCTCATTCAGACTTCCATCGCAAAAGGTCTCCATACAGTCACGACTCTAATCGCGTACGAGCTGGTCTTTGCTTAAACGGATCCTCTATGTGTTGGTAGGTAAATGTGCGTCTGAGCCAGCTGCCACAACTACCTCGTTTTACAGGAGGAGGAGCGCATAGTATTATCTTGTGAGCAACTTCCTGCTCACTAACAGCGTTCCGCTAATATTGTCTAGAGAAGCATCTATCTCTGACGTTGGTTTCTCTTTTCTTCAGGTCACAATAGAATGTTCCCATTAGTGGCGCCTCTGAATCATCTCATAATCTGTGCCGCTCCAAACATGAATTTCTTCGCTCCAAACAAGAACTTCTTCGCTCCAAACACGAACGTCTTCGCTCCAAACATTAACTTCTTATCCACAGCAATAATTAGAGACCCTGTACCTGATCCATGCAGTAAAATTGGCTTTTCAAAAGCTTGGAAAACTTAACTTTTACGTTCCTTTGAAATGGCTATCTTCTGAAGTTTAGAGCAGGCTTCAGCAAGTTTTATTTCAAT